TGAGTATGGTATAGTGTGGGTGGGTACAATGTCTTGGTCATAGTTGTGAATATAATATAACTCCAACTAATATTATTTTGCTAATGTGTCCAATCAACCAACTCTAGCACCAGATAATTGCAAAAATAGCCATAATAAGATTAAAGTTTGGTTCAAAAGGCATTCCAGTTCGGTTATTTACCTATCTACCCCGAGTTGGTAAAAGATGAAATTAGCAAAGGGAAAAAAAAAAGGGAAGATTGGATGTTTCAATCAATATATTCCTTTTGTTAAATACAGAAAATGGTTGATGTTGAAGTCATGCTTGGTAATGCTATGTTAAACCTGATTGATTGCTTGCAGGTGCAATGTGCAATCCAGCTACAGGTGATCGCGGTCCTTAGTGCTTTGCATTTGTCCATCCTCAATTGGGTTACAAATATGTGTACTGTTCACATGATTATCTCAAGTGGTAGTGTGTGAATAGGTTATATATTGCGGGCAGTTAATTACCTTGAACCTAAAACTGATTTTTTTTTTTTTTTTGAACCATTTACAATTTGGGGATTAGGCAATTTGAGGATTAGGAAAAGGGGATTTTTTCAAGATGTTGGTGAGAATTGAAATTTTAATCAACTAACCCAAATAATTTAAGATTTGAGAACGAATCATTTGTATTTAAAAATCTAGTACGAACCCTAAAACTGATATAGAAGATGAAGCTTGTTTATAACAAATTTAATTATTTGGTGGTAGTAATTGATTATTTTTAAGATATATTTTCGTTGAAGTTTCTTACAGAAAAAGAATTTGAGGGAGTTGACCAAAAATTAATTTGGCTTGACTCAAAAAATTAAAGTTCATGGCATGACAATTGAAGTAAAGTATAATTAATTATAATGAAAATATAAATGATTATACTAGAGCTTTCCTAGAAAACTTTTCTTATGAAATTTTTCAATAATAATGTGAGGTAATTTGAAAATAAATGATATTTTTTTGTAATCAATAATATATCCAATATAATTCTTTATATTTTTATTATAATCAATTATATTTTGCATTGATTTTCATATTAAGAACTTTAATTTCTTAAACCAAGTTAAGATTATTTCTTGCTAGTTTTTCTTTTTTTTTTTCCTTTTTTTTTTTTTTGCCAAGAGAAACTTCAACCAAACAAGTCCTTAATATTTTAACTCTGTCTAGTGAATACAAACAAGGATGGTAGACTACCTGAGCCTGGACAAACAGAGACAGAAAGTGGCAGTGTATCTAATCGATTAGGACTAGACTACCATTTCAACATGAATTGGATATATACTGACATGTTAAACTTGGACAAACAGAAACAGAGGGACCAAAAATTGTGGATAATTTACCACAAGAGGAAACACGAACTTGTCTGGAATGAATGGTATTGTCCAGAGAATTCTCCTTCCTCCAAATCATGATACAAATTACAACGCATATTCTGCCTCAAAGTCATGTATGGTAGCCTCAGCCGTCAGATTACCATGGTAATGATGCTTAGCAGAAGCAGGTTTTCATTTTCCCAAAATCAAATACACTCACTCTGTCATACATATTCCCACAGCAAGCATAATAGCTTACACTCCGGAGCAATGATGAAACACAAAACCTTCGTGCGTGGAGTCCGGCCCATTTATCCAATGCCTTCCCTGTCTCCTCCACAAACCGTTTTGCAGAGTAAGACTTGGAATTCCGAGCACACACAGCACATCGAAGCGTGGATCGGCGACCAGCAAAGGTGCCTTATGGGACGAATTGCACACCGTATATGGTCCAAGAAATGTAAGGAGTGTTTAGATTATCATTGTTTTTAAAAAAGTTATCAATTATTAGTTTTAATTTTTTCTTTTGAACAATAGAGAATTTTTGGGGATTTGAAGATTTCTTTCAAGTTATTGATAGTAATTAAATTTTCGATTAACTAAAGTTAAATAATAAAATTTGGAAATAAATTATTGAACTGAAGTACAATTCAATTACTAATTTTAATTAAATATTTTAAATTATATATGACAATAATTATTAATCATAAAATATTATTTATCAACTTTATCTAAGTAACTAATGTAAACACCTCTATACTTTTACTCATGACGGTGTCCAAAACACCCTTGTATCGGAGCACAAAAATGCAATACATGGCTATATACAAACGAAATGCTAATTTTTGTTCCCACTTTGCGCTCATTCGTACTAGTCTACGCATTGTTCAATCTAATCACCTCCTCATGGCTTAATTTTTTTTTTATCTTAAAATTTTCTTGTATAAATTGAAATAGAGTGAGTAAAATTTGAAGATTTCTAATGTTACTTAAATGAGAAAAACAAGAACATGACATTCAATAGGAAATTAAGTAGCATTTAACATTAGAATTAAATTAAAAAAAAAATTCAATTTTTACATTTCTCTCACACAGAGATGCGCCTAATCCCCAACTACCACCGCAAACCACCGTCCCACCACCACCACCACCACCAGCCAACCAAATCTTAACAGGACCATCTCCTTTTTTATATTTTCTCCAGCTTCGGAGCTTTGACGACGGGATTGGCCTTGGCGATCTGCTCTTTTCCCATCCCCTTGAAATCGAAGGAGCAGCCGTGTTGCTCCGGGTACCTATGGGTTCCGCAGAACACCATGTCGCACCTGCACTTGAACCCCGTGAGTCCAACCCTCTTCCTGCACGTCAAGCATCTATTAGTACTCGCCTGCATCTCTGTCCGCCCCTGTTCCGTCGCCACCACCGCTTCCTCCCTTCTCGCTCCATCCGTTACCGAATCGCTCTTCCCAACAGCAGGTGATGAAGCGAAAAGCGACGAAGACGCCAACGACAACGCCGACGAAGAGGAGGGAACAAGCGTTTGGTTAAGGGCCTGTTTTGCAGAAGAGGATTGTTGCTCTTTGAGCTGGAGATCACGGTAGCATTTAGAGCAGAGATTTTGCGTTGCAGGGCTGCCAAAAAAACCACAATTGTTGGCGCATAGACGCTGTGCTTGGCATCTGTGTTCCTCGGCCATTGAAATACAATTTCTCAGAACCTGAAGACAAACCCAGATTAAAACAAACCAAACCCAGAATTTTTTTTTTTTTCCTGAATAATGAAAGTCAAGAGAAATTCAAAAGAGAAATTCACCTGATGAAGCTAATTTGCTGCGTCCTCTGTTGGGATGGAGAAAGGGGTTAAAAGAGAAACTAAATCTAATTCGTTCTGGAAAGAAAGGAATAGGAGGATTTTGTTATGGAATGGAAAGACAACCAGGCAAGGAGAAGGGAATCTCTCTCCAAAATAAACCCCAGAAGAGGGATTCCTGTTCCTGCAGGTTGAAGATTCCACACACCTTCGCTTCTGTTTCCTCCTTGTTGATTTTTTTTTTCCTTTTCTACCAAACAGGGGATAAAAAAAAAAAAGGAGGCCGGCTTTCTCCTTCGTCGGCCACCCACCCACCCACTCACCGTAAACGCGTTAAATAATGAACGGCTTGAATTGAATAAAAATTGATTTTTTTGTTTTTTCCCATTGTTTTAGGCTGGGGGGCGGCTAATGGACTGTTTTGATCTTCTGGAAGCCGTTTAAGCTACGTTAAAATCGGAGTGGTGGACCCCGATCACAGTGGGGGTCACATCATTTTCCATTTTGAGTGCTGTGTGGGTCCCGTTCTTGAAGTTGACAAATCAGATTCCTTTAAGCCGCTAGATATCGACCGCCCCCGTCTCGATGGTGCTGCACGACTGCACGACCCTGCTTCTGCCTGTGTGGCTTAAGTCCTGTCTGTTTGATATACTTATAATCTCAAATGAAATTATAAATTTACCAAATGATCTGTTAATTGATCAACGAATTCTAAAAATAAAAAAAATAGATTTAGGCTTGTTGTTTGTGATTATTATATTGTGATTGTAATTTTTTTTGCTTTTTAATATTTTAAAATATATAAAATATATATTGTGATTTAATAAAACAAATTTAATTTTCTTAAAATAAAATATCAAATTTAAATTTTACAAATAAAGAAACAAACGATTAAGTGAGTTAAGTGAGTTTTTTTCTTATGCATTCAACACAACTTAATTTTTAATTAGTCAAACAGAAAGTTAATAATAATAATAATAATAATAATAAACCTATTAATTAGATGGTTTAAGAAAAAATAATTTGATTTTTTAAAATAAAATTTTGAATTTAAGTTTTTTAAATAAAAAAAAGCATTGAAAAAACTTTTTCTTTATAAAATCTAATACAGCTGAATTTTAAATTAATTAAAATTTAATATAATTTCAAAGTATTGAAATGTTAATAAAAAAATAAAATTATAAAATTATAATTTGTATTATATTAAATAAATTTAATATAATAATAAATAAAAAACAAATAATATCATAAATAAATTTTTAAATAAAAATAATTATATTATAAATTTACAATATTACTTGATATAATAATTATAATATTTTAATTATAAAACTGTAGGTGACTGTTAGGAATAAAAACGATTTGTTATAAGATAGAATTTCAATTTCTAGAATGCAAAGTTCCAAATCCAAACCAAGTTGATACAACAAATTGCAAGGAGAGTTTAAAGCTTTAGGAAAAAGGTATCTAGCGGGGTTTTATGCTGAATGTAGTGTTAGCTTGATGGTTAGAGATTTGTTGTTCATTTTGTGACACCAACAATGTATGCGTTCCAAGAGTCTTCCTGTTGGAAACTCTTGACCTCTTCATATTTCAGGTCTCGTGCAGCACCGAATCCTTGTGTGTCTCTCATTTCATCTGAGTCTGGCATCTTTCGTATCCAGAAATGGACTGATTTGAATCCAGCTTCTTCCAAGCAGTCTTTAATCTCTGGCAATGACCACCTACATGGGATACATGAGGAAGCGTATGTTGGTCTTCATAACAATGTATTAGAAGAATATATACCCTAATGGGAAAACAACACAACTTACAGTCTCCAGCTGTATGAAAATGCATGGCGAAGTTTTTTCTGCTGCTTCTGCAGATGAAAGTGGAGGCTAATCCTTGTCATACGCTGAACAATATCGAATTCTGCTTGCTCCCATACATACTGCACATATTGACAGCAAACTCTAATTGTAAGGGAAAAAGATGTTCGCCCTTCAAAGAGTGGCTCAACTGGTTAAGAACCTTAAATTCTAAGTTAGAGATTTTAATTTCAAACCTTGAATCAAGTGAAAAGGGATTTGGAAAAAGAAAAGGGCTATCCTTCTTGTAAACCAATTATCAGATGTATTCAAAAAAAAGAAAAAAAGGACAGAAAAAGATTTCTATGGGAACAATCTTTGGCCATTTTAAAATCGAAGAAGTGTTTTAGAATTGTGGTATCTGTTTTAGGGAAGTAAGGAGTTCCTCCAATACCATCAAGAAATCAAGTATATATTACTTTTTAATGGTGTTATCAATTCTCACGGCTATAGAAAGGTCATTACCGTAAAATTGGGAAATCTCCTCTGAAGTCTTAACTTGCATTCTGATGAGGTACCTCCATATAGGTCCATCACAAATATGCCACCTTTTTTGGACAAGATATCAAGAACATGCTTGAAATATTGAACCAGCTCTGCACGTTTATGGAGACAGCAGCAGCTGTAGTTAAAAGCACACACAATGTCCCTTGCAGGTAGTGAAGAGATTCTCTTTATTCTCTCATCATCTGCAGAAGCAGTAGCACCCTGTTGCAAAGTAAGATCTTCTGAACCAGTCTCAAAATCATTATCTGTCTCCCTTAATTGCACCTTACTTATCAGCTCCTGGGGCTTGAACATCAATAATTTGGCTTCATGAGGTTTCAAGACATTCCCGTGAAAGAGGGATATTCTGGAATACCCATCAGCCCCAACTTTATCAATATTGTTCTCCATACACCACTCTAATGCCTCAAGATCCAAATCCAATCCTACAGCAGTCCGTCTTGGATCACTTCGCAGCCATTCTTTACTGCCAAGCACATAAAATTAAGTTTAATCCTAGCAATTCTCAACTATTGTCACATTGCAGGCAAACACAGCTTTTGACTTAAGAGAAGATTTAATTATTGACAAATCTTGCATATGTTAACCACAAAATTGAACAAAGAACTAAAAATAAACTGATGCAATGTCAAAGAGATCAACCACGCAGAACAGCTCAGTAGCTAACATTTCTCTTTTCTTTTATCAAACAGCATAACATAAAACACATATTCAATCCACTTCATACACCTTTAACTGATAGGTACTTCAGTTCTCTCCTTATGTATTGTCACTCTATTTCCAACAATCACAAAGCAGACAATAACAAGCCAGCAGAGGAAAGATCGAGAAGTTATCAATTCTTTTAAGTTTTGCAGAGTAGTCACCTATCTGAACGCACACGATATGCACAGTTTTGCAGAGTAGTCACCTTAAACAATTTAGACACTAGAAACAACTGGAACCATGAAGTGACGCTTAGTGATAACTCACCTAAGAAGAGCAGTGCCACAGAAATCCTCTTGGAGATGAAGGGGCAACCTTCCACCCACATACATCAAAAAGAACTTCTGCATATAGCTTATGTCTCCTTTTGGCGACTGCAACCAACACAAAAACACAACCTTTTTCAAGATAACCAATCTTTCATAAACTAAAAAATTGAATATGCTATTTTGAATTGCATTATCCACCAAAAAAAAGAAAAATCTGGCATAAAGACGAGTTCTTTGTTGGGTCGTTTCAATGCTCTATTCTAAAAAATGAAATTGCTTTATGTTCTTTCAGCAAAAAGGGAAAATATTTGCACAAAAATTTAATTGGGACTTCTGCACTGTTCACAGCACAATATCACAAATTTCCTTCTTTACAACCCTCACATTCAGTAAAAACTATTGCTTTTATTTCCTCTCCAATTCCTCGCATTCTCTCAGAGTCTCAGCCCAAAACTGACCCTATGATAACAAATTTGGTTATTCAGGGCTTACCTGTACCGATTGTTGGTAAAGATGAAACTTGGAGGGCATATTGAAAGATGGGTCTGCATCGTTTTCTTCAACTTCTTCCTCCTCCTCCTCCTCCTCCTCTTCATCTCCTTCGTTGTCGTCAACGGGTTCTTCAAAATGTTGGGGTTTTTGTTCGTAACTGTATCCCTCATCTTCATCTTCATCTTGTCCGGTATGGTAAGAGGCTCCTCCTCGACTGCTTCCGCGTTGGTGTCTCTGCTTCTTCTCTCGCTTTCCCATTCTCTCCGCCGTCGACCGGCCACTAAGCACCCTTGCGCTTCTGTTACTGGGACTTTGGGATACAGGACCGAAGAAAATATTTACTCCCTCAGTTTTATTAGTTATCCTTTTTTTTTTTTTGAAAATAGAAAAAAATATATTGAGATTTTTTTTTTTTTTTTAAGAACAGAGTATATGCGCCTTATTTTAAAAAATTAATCTAAAATTATATTATTTTAATATATTCTATAAAATAATGTAGTTTTAATATAAATTTTTTAATTTTAAGAGAAAAGCAGGGATAAGTATTAGTCTCCTTTTTATACAATTTTTATATTATATAATTTATATTTTTATTAATTTGAGATCAATTTTATTAAAAAATTACTAAAAAATGATAAAAAAATATTATATTAAAAATTGATAAATTTTATAATAAAATTTTGTTAAGATTTTCTTAACTTGTTAGCCTTTTTATATTTAATAAGAGATTATAACACATAAAGTTAAAAGGAAATTCTCAAGTGGGTCTCATGTAAAAAAAAAAAAAAAATTTTAAAATATAAAAAAAATTTATTGATTGAAAGTTATGTCAGGAAAGATAAATAATAAAATTGTCATTTTCATCCTCTCTCTCCAATGTAGTATTAAAATATAAAAAATATGTAACGTAACCTTATAAGGTGAAGGTTTGTGAAAAACGTTTTTCCTCAACTAAACACAACTTTACTTTTAGATCTACGAGTAAATAGGTGTTAATTTATAAAACATATTTAGGATTCAGATATTGGATTTAGCATTTTAAAAAAATTTCATAAATCCATTTAATTAATGTGAAGGTATACCTTTTAAAAACATCTTAGAATAGATAAAGATTAGTGTTAATGTTAGCAAAAATCAAATGTTTGAATTGAAAGAAAATGTAGGACAGAGAAAATTTTTTCTTGATTTAATTATCAAAAAAAGTTGGTGGTAATGGAAGAATTTCTTTTACTTTATTTTTTTTAAAGTTAATTTCTTATCCAAATTAAGAATGAAAGGAAGGAGAGTAGAGAGGAATGAAAGATAAAATTCTTTTTTTTTTTTTTCTTTTTTTTCATTTCTTTCAATCCAAATATATAGTAAAGATAAAGAAAATATTTTGAAAAATTGACAAATAAAGCCTTATTATAATGTTAGATCCTTCCATTTATTTTTCTTTCCATCCTAAAGCAAATAATTTCCCTCCCTCTATTTTTTTTTTTTTAGTCAGATAAATTTTCTTTTCCTCATCCCTCTTCTCAAACCAGGTCAAAAGTAGTTTAAGTTTGTGAGTTTGACTTTTTACATAGATAATTACTATTTCAATAATTATGATGATTTTTAATTATTATACTTTTATAAAAAAAAGTTATATTAAAAAAAAGAGTCTATTTATCTTATTTTTTAAAAATAAAAAATACTTTAAAATATATTAATTTTTGTTAAAAAATTAAAATATATTATTTTAATAATATAATTAGATTATTTTAAATTTTTTATAATATTTTATTAAAATTAAATAAATTTTAAATAACTTTTTTCATAAATTTTAAAATTAAGAAAGATAAATACTAAGGGAGTTTACGGTGTGGTTTGATTCAGATTTTATTATTTTTTAAGCCAATTCAATCTAATTGGTTAATAAAATTTTTAAATCAATCTAATCCATTATTATATGATAACCAAACCAATTCAATTTAAATTAGATCGGTGTGATTCAGTCAGATTGATCGATTTTTAACATTATTAAATATATAAAATAATGTAAAAATATTTTAACATCAAATAGAATGTATAACTATAAAACACATTAACATCCAAATCAGTAAAAACATAATAAAATGTAAAAATTATAAATGAATTCTTATACTTTTTTACATTTGTAAAAATTAAAAAACTTAGAAAATTCCTCTTGGTTACATCACTAGAGGCACAAAAAATAATAAAAAAATAACATTAAATTTATAGCATAGCGTAAATAATTTTTGAAGGTTAAAATTAATTTTTTTTTCTTAATGCACTAATAATTTAATCTCATTTTCTAAATCATGTTAAAAATGAATAAAGTTTAATATAAATATTACTAAAATTAATTAGAAGCATTCATAATCAAAATTTAAAATATCTAAATCAAATATTCAAGAATAGTAGATTATCAAGACTAATTTTATTATATAGTTTTAAAACTTTTAGAATGATACTTATTTAAAACTTAGTTAATAGAATGATAAGATTATTTTAAAAATAAATTAAAAATTTAGGGTTCTAAAAGTAAAGACTCAAACTAGTTGTGAGAAGATAGATTTGTAGGTGAATTAAAAATTTAGAATTAAGGTTAAAATGCATCATTAAAATGAAAAAATAACTTAGAGAATATAGAGATGTTTTATTTTTATTTTTTAATTAAGTTAATGGAGTTATTATCTTGTAAAGTAAGAAAAAAAATTTTAAATACTACAAAAAAATGTTATATTATTTAATTAAATTATCTTTTAATATGATTTTACTTTGTAATCGAATAATTCAAGTCGTTTGAAAGTAAAATCACAAACTAAATCAATTACATCTGTTTTAAAATTTTAGAATTCAAACCAACCCAATTTTATATCGATTTGGATCGATTTTTTATTGGATTGAATCAGTTTAACTCGAATCAATCAGACATAAACATCTCTAATAAATACTTATATCTCATATTTAATAGTCACACTTAAAAAAAATATTAAATACTTTATTTCACTTTTATCCTTTATTGAATGCTATTGATTAATTCTTATTAGAAAAGGACCAAATAAAATAAAAAAAAGTTAATAATTATTTTTTTAATTTTTCCTATTATTATGACACACAAAAGCATAATAAGTAAAAGTAAACTATGTTTATTACTCATTTAATAAACTCAAAAATGCATTTTATAATGGTATGGTTCATTAGAAAATTCAGTCACCCACTCCATCATCAATTTTTTTTTTTTTTTTAACAAGGTTACAATTTTGAGGTAAAGGGAATTAAACCCAATTTTCGAATTAAGTACGCAGCTTATAAATCGATTTATAATAGTTGAGTAGTGAGATTTAGGTACACCCACTCCATTATCAATTGACACTTTCTAACATAAAAAAAGAGATAATTCACAATATTGTTCATCGAAATTATTTCTATTTTCCAATAAGATTTTTTTTTTTTTACAAAACTATTTTAATACTAGTAGCAATAAAGAAAAAGAAAAAGAACCAAAAATAAACAAAAAGAAAAGAAAAGAATAACTTCACTTTTTATTTTTTATGGGGGAGAAGAATAAATAACTTTCCCTAACCAATAAGTTAAGGGAAAAAAAAAAAAAAACTATATTCCACGCGTTTACCTTCGACGACGATGGAAATCCAATCGTAGTCGTCTTCTTCCTCCAATCCCTTCATCTGAGATAATCGATTGAACCCTAATAATCTCAAATCCTCAATTTTATCTGAGTTTTTCCCATGCGATTAACGCAAACGAAGGTGCCGGAGAGATGTATAGCAATTTCAAGGAGCAAGCCATAGAATACGTTAAGCAGGCCGTGCAAGAGGACAATGCCGGCAACTATGCCAAGGCCTTCCCTCTCTATATGAACGCGCTTGAGTACTTTAAGACCCATTTAAAGTACGAGAAGAACCCTAAAATCAAGGAGGCAATCACCCAGAAATTCACAGAGTACCTTCGACGGGCTGAGGAGATCCGGGCTGTTCTTGACGAGGGGGGTGCCGGACCTGCCTCCATTGGGGACGCTGCCGTTGCTACCCGACCCAAGACCAAGCGTAAAGATGGCGGTGAAGAGGGCGGAGATGGGGAGGATCCCGAACAGGCCAAGCTTCGGGCTGGCCTCAATTCGGCTATTATTAGGGAGAAGCCAAACGTGAAGTGGAACGACGTGGCTGGATTGGAAAGCGCCAAGCAGGCGTTGCAGGAAGCTGTCATATTGCCTGTCAAGTTCCCTCAGTTTTTTACTGGTGAGTTTTAATTAATGGCTTTCTAAGCTGGTTGTAGTTCTCTGGATTCTTTTGAATTTGTCTTGTAAATTGTAATTGCTCTTTTAAATAACAACTTGGTGTATTTAGTTCTGCCATAACTGTGTTTAGCTGCTGCTTTAGAATGCAAAATGAGATTGTTCTCAACACAAAGAGCTTTGGTGCATTATGCTTTCAGTTATCTCAAATGCCTGGATAATATAACCAAAATTTTCTTGTTATTAGACTGCACAATAATGAGGGAGTTGTTTTGCAGATGTAGAACAGCTTTGCAAGCTAGATGTTTATCGTTTGTTTTTGACAACTGTGACTCACTTATAACTGACCAATCGCCACAAACATCATCACAATCGGAAAACTTGCTTTTCGGCAACCTTGCAGTAGTAGTCATAATCATGTGGATTTGATTTATGTACTTCACTTATCTTTTCTTCTGAGATCAGCTTTGCAGTCTTCTTTATTGTTAGTTTCCTGCTACTAATTTGTGCTTGTAATGCCTTGATTCTTGACTTTTACTTCTTAGCTTCATCCTGTTATGGTTGCTGCCCCTTGGACTTTTTTTTTTATTTTGGTTGAATGATTGATTATAATGAGGAGAGGAACTTGGTGACCTTTTATCCTCCTTTCTTCTGCTTGTTATTCTTGATAGTTCTATTGTTGCTCTATCGCTTTCAGGTTTCAATGTCACGCAGTTGGGATAATAATTTGATTCATTTAATAAATTTCAAAATTCCTTGGTTGTCTTTTAGGCAAGAGGCGTCCTTGGAGAGCTTTTCTATTGTATGGGCCACCAGGGACTGGGAAGTCATATTTGGCCAAAGCTGTTGCAACTGAAGCAGACTCCACATTTTTTAGGTAATAAGTTGTTGATATATATATATTAGGCTACCTTTTATGTCTATGAAAAAATCACTATCATATGCTGGGGTTACAGACTTGCAGTCCATTTCCATTTTTACAAATTTTAGTACATATATTAATAATGAAAACAAGAAGAAATAACTTATGATATGTCTTGTATATCTAGCATTTCCTCTGTGATGCAGCTGTTACCTGCACCTCTCCATCTTGGAGTGAAATGAGGGGGTGATGGCAGTAGTAAGTCTTGAACCTCATTTATACCCCATCCAACTTTTGCCATCACTTGTTTCACTATGAGAAATTGATGGCAGTGTTGATATCTTGTAATTATTTTGCATTTTGGGAGAAAGATCTTCTGCATGTTGTATTTTACTGCTTTGATCTGATTCTGACATTCTCCATCCTCAGTTCACTTATGTTCTTCCTCTTATGTGAATTTAAGGTTAAAGCACCTATTATTTAAGAAACTATCATTTTAAGATTTCTGTCAGCAATATTAGACTATTTGCTTTAAAACATTTTCAATGGAAATTATGAAAACTTTAAATGTTGTTATATAAGTTTGTCCGGGCTACTGGTTTTTGATTCTTTAATCTTCTTCCTGCTAGTATTTCATCATCGGATCTTGTCTCAAAGTGGATGGGTGAAAGTGAAAAGCTGGTTTCAAATCTTTTCCAGATGGCTCGTGAAAGTGCTCCCTCCATTGTATTCATTGATGAGATAGATTCCTTGTGTGGCCAGCGTGGTGAAGGAAATGAAAGTGAAGCTTCAAGACGTATCAAAACAGAACTACTTGTGCAGATGCAGGTATTTGCTTGTGTGGGGAAAGCAGCTCAGAAGAATTTTTGAGCTTTCTTTGCATTGGTGTTTAAAGGTTTTTTTCATTTTGTATTTATGGGTTGACATGATTTTTTTGGAATTATTTTTGGAGTGTGGTCTTAATTCTATAATATCTATATTTATTTCATTTGGGTTTCTAAAATACTATATTAGACTCTCCAAAATGTTTAGTCCAATGCAAGCCTCTTAATTTCTTTCTTTTCACTTTATATGCTTTAGGGCGTGGGAAATGATGATCAGAAAGTTCTTGTTCTTGCAGCAACAAATACTCCCTATGCTTTGGACCAGGTAAAGGAGAATGTCAAAGAAGTTAATTTCTTGTTTTCATCTTGAATCAGCGTAATCAGGTAGCTTTGATAATCCTTGGAATTTGCAGGCCATCCGGAGGCGTTTTGACAAGCGCATTTACATTCCTCTCCCAGATTTGAAGGCTCGACAACATATGTTCAAAGTACTTAAGTTTTTCCTATTGTCCTTCATAATATTGGAGAAGAACTGCTTGGTTATCTTGTGCTTTGGGTGTTTTGATATGTCTGGCTTGTTTTGGATTGACAAATTTCCTTTCAACAGGTACATTTAGGTGATACTCCGCATAACTTGGCTGAAAGTGATTTTGAAATCTTAGCTCACAGGACAGAGGGTTTTTCAGGGTCAGATATATCTGTTTGTGTAAGTGAAACTGGCTGTTATCTTTTTTTTAACCTCTATGAAGATACAACATCAAGTAGCTTAAAGATCCCTTTTTCTGACAATCTTTCATCTGGCAGGTTAAGGATGTTCTCTTTGAGCCTGTTCGCAAAACCCAAGATGCCATGTTCTTTTTTGAGACATCTAATGACATGTTTATGCCATGTGGACCAAAGCAACCAGGTGCTTTCCAAATTACCATGCAGGAGCTCGCAGCGAAAGGACTTGCAGCAAAGGTATGTATTGATGTTTGAGATGCATGATATCCTCAGGGTTGATAAGGTAAAATTAAGAATCATGTAACTAATTAAATGTGTGAGATGACTTTAATTGAATGAAAGATAACAGTCTAATGTTGCTGAAAAACATATTATAATATTGTTATTTCTATTAATGTTCCATAATGCACGAGCAGATCCTCCCACCTCCTATTTCAAGAACAGATTTTGACAAGGTGCTTGCAAGACAAAGGCCGACGGTAAGCATGGCTGACCTTGAGGTCCACGAGAGATTTACAAGGGAATTTGGAGAGGAAGGGTGATGGATTTGATGAGATTGTCTCGTTGATGGGCACTAGTGAGTGCAGTCACTGTAATTTGTAATTTGTTTCTCGCTGCTGGATTTTACAAATTATGTCGTTCTATTTATATTATCTTGAAAGAAAGAACTTCCCTTTCCTTGCATTCCAATGGAACAGGGATTTGAGACTTGTTAATTGAATTGCTTGTTTCTTCTTCTTGTGTAAAGAGGAGCTATGGAAAAATACAGCCCAAGAATGCCATGAATTAGTTTCAGCTTAAATTCAACAGACCTGTTTCCTTGCGCCAACTAATTACCATATATTCATGGATTGGTTGTATTCTTGAAGACCATTTCTTTCTTTTATCATTCGTATGATATATGGCTGCCGTTCCTTTTGCATGTAATTCAATAAGTTTCTTTGGGACAAAAAAAGAAAAAAAGTAGGGGGTGAGTGAAACAAATGAATTAGTTGAGGATGAAATTCTAATGAGTGAGAAAGTATCATATGTCACATTATTATATAAACATATTTTAGTTGAATCGTTTTCGTGGGAGAAAGCAACATTTACACACCATTTTACATATTATATTTAAAAAAGAAAAATAATATTAACCATTCAAGTTTTATCGTAATTTTTTAAATAAAAAATAATTATTATTAATAAATATAATAAAAAATAAATAAAATGTAATAAAAAAATTAAAAAATAAATAATTAAAATTTTATACCAATATTACTGTATAAAACTTATTTGCAAATCATCTTTTCTCTAATAAAAGTTAAATACTATATTGTGCCCAACTTACACTCTTAATCCTCCCATTTCATCTATCATTTTCATAAATTAGCAAAAAAAAAAAAGAGAAACCCATCATTTTCATAGCAAGAAACCCTAATTTCCTCTTTGCGCCCCTTACTTACAGTACCACTTTCCATTTTTTTACACACAGATTCATTCGTCTCTTATAAATTTCAAAACAATAGTTTTGTTTCCCCGTATGTATGCAGCAGCCCCTTTCGTTTCCAACTCTCCTTACTATCATCCCCAGAGCCATTTTTGACCGTTAAAGAAGAAGTTATTTCCGTTTCATTTTGATCTCCTCTTCCCTAGGGTTTTTACTCTTTTTTTGTTTTTGTTTTTTTTTTTTTTCTCTACTCATAATCCTTAATTAGCATAGACGGTTTTATTTTTTTAATGGGTAAAAAAGAAAAAAGAAATCTTTTGTTTTCTCCTGCTTGCTTCTTCACTTCTGAGCGTTCTCATATTTTTGCTTCTTTCAGGTATGTTTCAATACCCTAAATTTGCAAAATTTTTTAATGGGTTTCTTCTGAAGAAGACGGTTTGTTTTGTTATTTCTTATTTTTTTGCATTTGGGTTTCTACAAGGTAGTCTGTGTGGCTTTGGGAATTCGGAGTCAATTGGGTTTTTGTTTCTCTAAGCAGCCGGGACTGTGGTCATTGATGAATTTAGGGTTTTCTTCTTCGAAAGTTATTGCCTTTTTCGTTTTGGCGGGTTTTCTAAATTCGTAGTGGAAGAAGCTGAAATTATTACGTTCGTAGAAGATGATTGCAGAGAAACCTAGTTGGGTTAGGCATGAGGGAATGCAGATTTTCTCCATTGATGTTCAGCCAGGTGGGCTGAGGTTCGCTACTGGTGGAGGTGACCACAAGGTAACATTCTCGTACTTTTTTACCGTTTGGGTGTTAAGAAAGAAAGCTTGACATGAGAAAATTTGATTTGGTTTTTCTTTAAAGAATCATTGTCATCCTTCATTCTTGATTTTAGCTGCTCAGAAAATTTGGGAATATGTGTAATTGAAATGTTGAGTTTTACTTTCCCTCATGATTGGGCCCAGAGAAAACCAGAGACTTGTTATTTAGGACCTGTGAAGCTGATAATATACAAATTATTCACATTTTCCCTATTTATTGATAATATATGTACATATCAAGAAAGAAAAAAAAAAAAAACAATGATTGACGTTCTGCAAACAATATTTGGCTACATGGTATAATGCACTGCCATGTGTTGAACAGCCGTCTGAGTTTTGCTAAATCTATTTCATAAATTATGTCATTTGGTTGAAGCATCCATCCGATGACATTAGTTGATATAAGACGTTCAGTTCATTTCTTTTGTACCTTTTCAAATGTAGGTTCGAATATGGAACATGAAATCTGTCAGCAGGGACTTGGGAAATGATGACACCTCACAGAGGCTTCTTGCAACCCTGCGTGATCACTTTGGATCTGTCAACTGTGTTAGGTGGGCTAAGCATGGTCGATATCTTGCATCAGGATCTGACGATCAGGTGATTTTGGTTCACGAGAGAAAGCCTGGATCTGGAACCACTGAGTTTGGTAGTGGAGAGCCCCCAGATGTTGAAAATTGGAAAGTTGTGATGACTCTACGAGGACATACTGCAGATGTGGTAATGCTATTGCTTGCTTTTCATGTTGCTTTATGAGAGTCATATCATTTTTCCTGCAGCATCCGAGTTTGTTTGCCACTGGATATGTCTAACTGGGAAGTTTCTTCATTCTACACTTAAAAGTAGGTGGATCTTAATTGGTCTCCAGATGACTCGATACTGGCCAGTGGGAGTTTGGATAATACAATCCATATATGGAATATGAGCAATGGCATCTGCACTGCTGTACTTAGGGGCCATTCCAGCCTTGTTAAGGGAGTTGCCTGGGATCCAATTGGGTCCTTCATAGCGAGTCAATCTGATGACAAGACCGTCATTATATGGCGAACAAGTGACTGGAGTCTTGCTCACAGAACAGAAGGTCACTGGGGAAAATCGGTATGGTGGTACTCTATCTATGAATTTTGTTATTCTCATATCCCTTCTGGCTTGCTGATGAAAGTGCTTGCTTTTCAGCTTGGATCGACATTCTTCAGGCGGCTTGGATGGTCCCCCTGTGGCCATTTTATAACTACGACTCACGGTTTCCAAAAGCCAAAGCATTCTGCGCCTGTTCTAGAGAGAGGAGAGTGGGCTGCCACATTTGACTTCTTGGGCCACCATGCCCCCATTATAGTTGTGAAGTTTAATCACTCAATGTTCAGAGCCAATCCTGGGAATGCACAGGAAGCCAATGGGTGGGCTAATGGGGCCACCCGCACTCAGCCTGGAGGGAGAGAATCACAGCTGTACAATGTCATTGCTATTGGAAGTCAGGACCGGACTATAACTGTATGGACAACTGCAAGTCCACGTCCTGTCTTTGTTGCCAGACATTTCTTTAGTCAGAGTGTTGTTGATTTATCCTGGTAAACCCATTTTTCTTTAATGTCAAGGAATGATGTGATTATTTTGCATTTGATTTGCATATTCCAACTTAGTGATGACTATCCTTTGGCCTTCTCTTCTCCAGACTAGTTCTTGTCTCTCTTTTTTAATTGTTTATACTCTTCCTTGAGAGCAGGAGTCCTGATGGCTATTCACTGTTTGCCTGTTCCTTAGATGGGACAGTGGCTATGTTCCATTTTGAGGATAGAGAACTTGGGTACAGGCTGAGTGATGCTGAACTTGATGAGCTAAAGAGAAATCGTTATGGTGATGTCAGAGGCCGACAAGCAAATTTAGCAGAGAGTCCAGCACAGTTACTGCTTGAAGCAGCCTCAGCCAAGCAAACTGTGAGCAAAAAAGTGGCTCCAGTCATTCAGGAAAATCAGACGCCTTTAAAGTCCTCTGTTGATTTGGTGGTTCCAAACATATCTTCTGATGCTCAGAATGATGATGGGAAGAAGATTGTGAGTCCTGGGAGTGATGGGTTAAGTAAAGTGGCGACCTCATCCAGGATTTCTAGTCCTGTGAAACAAAGGGAATATAGACGCCCTGATGGCAGAAAGAGGATCATTCCTGAAGCAGTTGGAGTGCCTACTCAGCAGGATGGTATAACTGGTGGTGCCCAATCTCAAGCTCTAGAAGTTCCTGTTGTGACATCTGATCATAGAAAGAATGATAATGGGGCGATTCCTGCTGATGGTGGTGTGAGAGAAACTCCTGTCAGGGGAATGCTGGGCCGAAGCTCTGACTTAAAGGAGCGTTCAGGCATGACTGCCAGGGCTACTGTTACAGAGAGCCTGGTCATTGAGAAAGTTCCAGCTTCTGCTGACCGAGATGGAAGCATCAATGTAGAACACTCTGGGAGTATTAAATCTTCAGGTGCTATGCCTGCTTCTACTAGAGCTCTTTCAATTAGAGTTTTTGACAAAAAGGAAGGTGAAGCTGCCGTGCCAGTTTGCTTGGAAGCTTGCCCTAGGGAACATGCTGGAAATGACCTTGTTGGAATGGGCAATGCATGCGTGATAAAAGAAACAGAAATTGTTTGCACAAGGGGGGCTGAAACCCTTTGGTGTGATAGGATCTCAGGGAAGGTGACTGTTTTAGCTGGAAATGCAAACTTCTGGGCTGTTGGAAGTGAAGACGGGTGTCTACAGGTTAGTTAGAAAAAGCTTTTATCCTCCCCTGGAAATTCACGTTTTTCCTTGTAATTGTAGCTAGTAACAGGTTTTCTTGATGCAGTTATTGGATCATAGCCACAAAAAATACATGATATGATTGTATAACCTAATTGACAGATGCTTGCTTACATGATAGATTTTTCTTCTTTTGATCAGCACACATTATAGAGCTCTGTAATCTTATTATGTTCTATGGGCTGTATAACTGCAGTATCTTGAACTATTTTGGTATACAGGGTAAAAAGAAAGAAGCTTGGAGATGATTGGTAGGATAGATTTTTATAAGTAGCATTTTCATGGTTAGAATAAATCTGGTTTTTGTGGGCATCAAATGTGTAATCTGATCTCTTCTGGTGTCCTATATTTACTTTATTAGCTGGAAATTTTATGGTATATAGTGTATTATGAAAGAAACTTGGTGATGATTGGGAGGATAGATTTGATAGGTAGCATGCTCATTGTTAGAATAAATCTGGTTTGAGTGGGCATCAAATGCTTTTATTCTTCTGTTATATGGCTAGAGTTAGAGTTTAGGTTAATAGTTATAGCTTAAGAGAATACTCAGTTCTTTTTGTTATTTTCTTATGCTTGAGAAGGTTTACACCAAGTGTGGAAGACGTGCCTTGCCAACAATGATGATGGGATCTGCAGCAACTTTTATAGATTGTGATGAGAGCTGGAAGTTATTACTTGTTACAAAGAAAGGATCCTTATATTTGTGGGATCTTCTTAACAGAAACTGTCTCCTTCATGATTCTTTAGTGTCTCTGATTACTTCTGACCATAACTCAACTTCCAAGGGTGCAGGTACTTGTAAGATTTGAACCTTTGTCCAAAGAAATAATGTGCATCAGTTGTGTTGCAGATGTTTCCTAGAAATTGTGCCTTTAAATTCGTAGTCATGGCATATTTTGTTACTTTTTCAGGGACAATTAAAGTTATATCTGCAAAATTATCGAAATCTGGTTCTCCACTTATTGTCTTAGCCACACGGCATGCATTTCTTTTCGACATGAATCTCATGTGTTGGTTGAGGGTTGCAGATGATTGCTTCCCTGCATCAAATTTTTCTTCTTCTTGGAATTTGGGTTCAATTCATACTGGTGAGCTGGCTGCATTGCAGATTGATGTAAGAAGATATTTGGCGAGAAAGCCAGGTTGGAGCAGGTGGGAAATCTTTACTACAATTCTGAAGTTGTTTTGACTTCATTAGTATTACAGCATTCAATGACATTTATGTCTTACTAAAGTTGCATCGATGCAAACTGTTTTAGAGAAATGGTTTTCTACAATTTCCTTTACTCAATCTCAGAACTAATATTTTGTTTAGCTGTTGTGCTCCTAGAATGTGACCTGTTATTTGTTACAGGATAACAGATGATGGAGTTCAGACACGTGCTCATTTGGAAGCTCAATTGGCTTCTGCTTTGGCTCTGAAGTCTCCTAATGAATATCGGCAATGCCTTCTGTCCTACATTCGTTTCCTAACAAGGTTTGTCTTTGTACTTCTGAACGTTCTGATCTTCTCCCCTTCATTCCAAAACCATCTATGATGGATAATATGAAAGTACTTACAAGATAGCTATACAGTTTTGTAGAATAATTTTCTGAATTTTCTTTCAAGAATATTGCAACATGATAGTTGTACTTTTGGCTCCAGAGAAGCAGATGAGTCTCGTTTACGAGAAGTTTGTGAAAGTTTTCTTGGGCCACCAACTGGCATGGCATCAGATTCAGATAATCCAGCTTGGGATCCCTGTGTGCTGGTAAGCCTTTTTCCACCCAATATTCTTCATATCTACATTATCCAGAATCAAAGCTGTTTCTTTCGAAGATGTAATAGCCGGAGCTGTTTCTATATCATTTTCCAGAGTATGATTTGCATCCAGATTTTAATATTTTTACCTTTATCTTCATTTAGTTCTCATTAGTTATGAAAGCCTCTTTATCTGCGTGGTTTACAATCCTGGAGTGTGTTGCTTTGCATTTTGTTTTAGGTTATTCTTGAATGTGACCCTTTCCATTTCCTTTGTTGTTGCCCTGGTTGTATCCCAAGCTCCCTGTCTTCTACTCATTTTACACCAGGTCTTTTGACTGCTTTTGGGCAATTATTTACTGCAGGGAGTAAGGAAGCACAAGCTTTTAAGAGAAGACATTCTTCCAGCAATGGCATCAAATAGAAAAGTTCAGCGGTTGCTTAATGAGTTTATGGATCTTCTCTCTGAATATGAAAATGCAGAAAGTAATATTGACCAAAAGCATTTCTCTCCTCCAGTTACAATTCAAGCAGCTACTGATGAGATCAATTCTACCCTGCCAGCAGCAACCGAGCAGATCAATTCTACTGCACCAGTTGCAACTGATGAGATCAATTCTACTCTGCCAGCAGCAACCAATCAGATCAATTCTACACCATCAGCTGCTGATAAAATTGATTCTTCTGCTCTTCCAACATATCATAACAATGATGTGTCCCTTCCTACAGATCAAGCAAATACTACAACAGCAACAGATCAAGTGAACTCAAGCCCTCAATTGACAGATCAAGTTAATGAGGCTCCATCACCAAAGGATGCCAGTGTAGTTCATGCCAGATAACAACGCATGCTAACTATTGCACTCATGGAGCATAGTGACTAGAGATCCTCCATTTTACCGCCTGACTGACTGTCATCTCTCATCTTACTACTGCTCGAAAAGGGGTTGATTATAATTGAAAGCATCTGGGAAGACACCCTAATCTCATTGAATCTTCAGCTGTGCAGTCATCCATGACTTGGTATGTAATGAAGAATCCTACGTTTCAGTTAAAATTTTTAATTTCTTCGTAGTATCTGTTTCAAACGTTAGCACGATGGCAGCTAAACCATATATTCATCTATTTTCAAGGGCTCTAATCTCACATTAGTTAGACATAGGCTTTTTCTTGTTTGTAATTGTACATTTATGTTGGAATATGATTTCGCATATTACCTTCTCATATTTTCTAACATGCTTAGAAACAATCACTTTTTACTTTCTCCAGAAATCATATGGAACTTAGAAATCTGCCTTGGTTTTTCAGTTTTGGTGTAAATTAACTAGGGTTGTGTTTTTGAGTTACACAATAAGAGGCAACTTTTTTTTATCTTTTAACTCACTTACATGTCATATGACTCAAATTCAAAATTTTTTACTTTCGCTAGAAAGAGAAAATTATTAAACTATTTAGGTCATTGGCTTAACTAGGGTTGTTTGTTGATTGTATGTAATGCATGTTACATGGTTCATGTTAATTTGGTTATTTTGTCTGTGAAAGCAATCCAGGCCGGGCAGTACCTACTTGATTGCTAGCTGGACCTGAAGTTAATAGGGCTTTGTATCTAGGCCTACGCCTGAATTAATGACTCTGATGAGTGACAACCAGCCCATAAGCTCATGCATGAACCGATAAATGTAAAGTGAAGATTGTGTATGTCATTTTTCACATGTGTCTGTATGTATGATCAATGACAATCACTAGGGTCTATCATAATGTTGGGATGGGATGGACTATTATTTACTTATTATTTGTTCTTAATATTATTTATATTTACTTGTTACACCAATTACACGTCAAGTATTAATTATGATATATTTTAAACAAAAGTCCTAATCTAGATGCGGTGATTGTCATGTCATTTTATGCAATCATCTTCTTCAATTTATTTTTTTATTTAATTTATGCGTTGTTGTTCAAGAATCAAATGAGTAATGATCAAGTGGAATTAGGTAAAACAACCTTGCGCAAGGTTGTTCTTCTGTCGACGTGTTCCTTTCGTTTCCATGAACATCTGAAAAAGTCACCAAAAAGCTGGCTTCCTGGTCAAAATGACCCTCCAAAAGCAAAAAGAAACTTGCACGTTTCTTGTACTTTTCTTCTTCCTCGTGATCTATCAATTGTAAGATTCATTCACCCATTTTAACATTAAAAAAATATTATGTAGTTTGAACAGTATTTTACGCAATATAAATTATTGAATAGAGGTGGTTACTTGATATTGAAGGTTATCTTTCATTCAATAATTTATATATATTTTTTTAACTTCTTTATGTTCCATAAAAAAATAGAAGTGATAATTTGATAAGGATTGCATGGTCAAACCTAAGATAACAAGAATGTTAGAAGTGCGTTCATTAAAGAAGTTGGATGGGTTTGTAGATTCAAAGGTAGAACTTTTAGGCATAAATAGGGATACGTTACTTGATAATGAAAGTTGTCTCTTATATAATAATTTATGAGGTGAATTTTTTTAGTTGGTTCTTATGTAATAATTTATATTTTATAGTTTGAAATGTAAAAACCATAAATAGGGGTGGGTTTCTTGATAATGAGAGTTGTTTCTTATGCAAGAATTTATAGGGTGGATTCTTTGACAATGAGAGCTATCTTTTATATAATAATTTATGAGATGAATTCTTTAATAATAAAAATTGATTATTACGTAATAATTTATGTTTTATGGTTTGAAAAAAAAAGAAGCCCTTCCATTAAAAAGGGAATAGCGATAATCCAATAAGGATTGCATGTTCAAACAAAAGATAACAAAAAAAGTTATGGGTGCGTTCATTAAAGAAGTATTAAAGATGGAAGTAGGATGAGGGTTAGTAGATTTGAAGGTAGAAGTGTCGGCATT